CATCCATCCATCCATCCATCCATCCATCCATCCATCCATCCATCCATCCATTCATCCATCCATCCATCCATCCATCTCCTCTTTTGTTTTTGGTTGAGGACAGTTTACTAAAGGAATCCTAACAGAAGGAGACGAACATCTAATGACAAAGGCTGGTTGATGATCTTTGGGTCTCTATTACATTCCAGTGAACTAAATGTGAGAGACCAACACAGGTGTGTTCTTTTTGTTTGTGCTGTCAGAGCTTTATCCATTCTGTCCAGCGTCAGACATGTTGAAGACAAAATCAAACAGGCAAAAGAGGCTTCACCTTCAGCCACAGTAAAACATAAGACCCACTCTGGCCCCTTAACCAGAGTCAATAACCTGAGCATGATGCAGCACTTTCATCAGCCTGCTGAGCGAATGGAGATCTGAAGAAGTGATATTGTTGATAAGCAGGCCGTTCCCCAGCTGCGCCCTTATTCTTCTCCAAGCCCAGAGCTTGGCAGCTTCTGCTGGTGTATCCAGTAGGTGTGGAATATCTCAAATTACTCACATATTTATAGAGATAAAGCTTCTTTGACGGTTCCCAGGGGCCCTGGCAAGGCAGTGGCCTGTGGCGGAGAGTGCCTCCCACCACCACCACTTGTTAATAACAGAAACATGTTCTATCTATGTTTCATATTCTATGTTTCCTTCTCTAGATTTTTTCTTCCACCCATTTAGTGAACAGAGATTAAAAAAAAAACTGCTGTAAACTTCATGATTCAGGCACTAGAAGCATTTCTGAGGGCAGAGTTTTCATATTTTTCCTGCCAGGCAGCAGCAGGGATCATATGGACCTGTTTATCTCCCTCTGGGCGTTGCTCCTCGTCAAGTAAAAAAACAAACACATATGGGTGGCTCTGATATTTAATTTCCCTTTGATAAAGTTTATTTTTATTTGAATCAGGGCAGAGCAAGTGTTGCACCGTAAGTTCCAGTGACAATTTGATAAAAATGTAACTTTATCCTGTAGTTTTTCTCTTCTAAGTCCCGTTTTCTCTGCCTACATCAGCCCTCCTGTATCTGCTATGTGGTGTGAGAAAGCCATTTTCCTAATATTTCTCTCCAAACATCCCCTCAGCCATAACCCGATGGAGACTCCCTATGGGATCTAATTCAGATAAGATGGAAATCAGGAGTAAGTATGACCACAGCTGTCCAGGGAGGGGCAATAAACAACAAACCTTTCCTGTCTCACTGTCCTTCTTCCTCCATAGCTTACTTGCTTTTCAGTTCTTTGTCAGCCTTGGACCCCGCAGGCCTGGAGGTCCTGACTCATACAATGAACGGGAAGCTTTGCGGCATCAGAGCAGGGCGTGTGTTTGTTTACGAGGAGTTGGGCCTCCTTCTTACCCACATGTCTGGCTGGGATCAGTGGATCACTTAATGGTCTCTGTGGCATTATGTGTCACAGCAGTGGGAGCCCCAGCAGACCACACCCACTTCCCTTCATCTCTGACACACAGCTTGGCATATCTGCTTGCAGGAGAGCTGGGCTGCTCAGTTACATTCATCACAAGCATTTGCTCATGGAGGAACGATGAAATATAAGATGCTTTAACAAACTTGGGGTCAGACAATCACAAACTGGCTCCAACATTTTGCCCTATATTACATCAAGAAAAAAAACCCTCTGGGGTTCGTGGAAAGCTGCTTTTTTTCTTGGTTTCATTCTAGCCCTGACCCACACCTGATCAGAAACCTTTTAAATGAAGCCTCAAACATAGCCGGTGTAGGTACCAGATCTGCTCGGGACCCTGCCCCTTCATATGACGTCATCATATGGCAATAACACTCAAAAAACTGTATTGCAATGATTTCTGAAGGATCACATCTCTTCTGGAGTCTCAACATATTATTACCCATAATTGCTATTATTTTACGTTTTATCTGCGATCTAAAGAAGTCTAAAGTAGAAAACAATCATTTTCAGTCTTGAAGGAAAGTACTGCCTTCTAAGACTGAGTGAGCTCTGCCATTTAACCAGATGACAAAAAAAAGTCTCAGCTTATTTTATTCTTTTTATTTAAAGTCGTAGGGAAATCATATTTAAATGTCAAATCATTCTGGCTTAAACATGCATATAAATTTACTCTTTATCAGACATGCAGGAGACTCATCCACGACATCAGATGCAAAACTCTCCTCCTCTTGCATGTTTCCGTTGTCCATAGTGTTCCTTGACAGTTTCTAAGTCACAGTTTAGTGCTACTTGGTCCTCACACATACTAGGTCTACCAACATAAACAATACAATATAGAGACAGACAGGCAGCTCTTCAAGACTGAATCCATGAAAGCTCAGAGGTGTGTGAGCATTCACTGCCAGTCTAGGTGGCATGTGGGCAATGAAATGGAATAATGTAAACAGATGCAAAACCCCATCATGCACAGCAACATATTTTTGCAAAATATTCAAACATAAATTCGCCAAATATGAGAGGAACATCGTAGTTTGGTTTAAAGAAAGGATTTTAGTTTTATTATAATTTAGTTTGTTGCAAGGATTTTACAGTTTGAAGAAATAGAAAATGACACCATTTGCCAACCGTCACAAGGATGTGCATGACAAGGAAGGGCTATATATATATACAGCATGCATCGTTTAGGGAGTTAACATTGGATTACTTCTTGAGCTCCTCGAGTTATTTACTGTCACAGGTAGGAGCTTCAGCCGAAGAGTAAGTGTTGGGGGCCGGTATGAATTAAGGAGGGCCCTTGCAGGGTGAAATTAGGACCAGCCCACCTGGCAAATACCCGGTATCACAGATTACCAGTCCGAACGTGGCCGCAACCAAATTTGCTTGCGAACCTTCCGCCAAAACAATCCTGCCCTCCTGATAAACGACCTATCGCATTCACTGTATTCACTCGTGTAAAGTCATGCACCACTCGGGAGAATTCGGGAGAAATGGTTGGAACAGCCATTATTAAAATAAATAACATTTTGCATTTAAGATAAAAAATCTTTTTTAATCTGTCAATCTGCTCTATCCAGAATTCCTCAAGTGGAAAAGTTTTAGCTTCACCTGGTTTAATTTCATAAAAAATTTTGAAGGAACCTTTTCCTATCTAATCATTAATCGAAAAAATGATTGACAGATTAATCAATTTGCAAAAATAATTATAGTTTCAGCCCTAGTCCAAACAAGACAAGATGAACATCAGCTTCCTTCATCCATTTAGTTCTGACGTCTGTTTGGTTCCTTTTCCTCAGAGGAAATTGTTTAGGATGTTTGGGAACAATCCAGGAAGTGGCCCATTGAAAACGTTTGACGTCGGTAGAGACAGACCCCTTCCTTCCATGAGAAAAACAACTACTTACTTTACTCAGTTATTTGCTGGGGAAACCTTTGAACAGAAAGTACCTTTGGTAGTACCCATATTCTGTCCTTTCTTCTTTTACTTGAATATTGCTATGAAGTACAAACTTCTCTTTGTTATGCTTCTGCCCATTGGGAATAACTTCACTGAATGAAGACCAAGCTAAGATTAATGTGAACAGGGTTACATAATGGAGTATTGCTACCTTTGGGCAGGGCCGGATTTAGGAAATTGAAGGCCCTAAGCAAAGACAACACATAAAACAGACCCATTATACAGATAGAGAAATGTTAATAGAATAGACATCCCTTATCTGTTCTAGGTT